GATTGACGAGTATTGATATTAGTTCTTCTTTAAAGTTCTTGTAAAACTCTGCTGTATATCCGTCTGTTCCTTTTCTTGGTTGGTAATCTTTTGATGGCTTCTTCTATTTCCTCACTTGATATTGGTCTGTTTAGCTCATATGAGCATATGAGCTCAATCTGGGTAGCTCATATGCCTTAAGGAATTTATCGATGCCTTCACTATCCTCTATTTTATTAGAGTATAGGGTTTCAAAATAATTTCTAATTATCTTCTGTATTTCTGAAGTGTCTGTTGTGATGTTGCCTTTTTCATCCTGTAAGCTAGTAATTTGGGTTCTCTCTCTTCTTCTCTTTGTTAACGTGGCTAGTGGTCTATCAATCTTATTTATTTTTTCAAAGAACCAACTTTTAGTTTTGTCAATTTTTTTGATTGTTTCTTTTGTTTCGATTTCATTGATTTCAGCTCTGATTTTACTTATTTCTTGCCTTCTACTGTATTTGCTGCTAATTTGTTCTTCTTTTTCTAAGGCTTCGAGGTGTAGTGTGAGGTCATTCATTTGCTGGCTTTTCCTTCTTTTAAGGAATGAACTCCATGAAATGAATTTTCCTCTTAGTACTGCTTTCATACTGTCCCAGAGATTTCGCTATGTTGTGTCTGAGTTTTCATTCACCTCTAAGAATTTTTTAAATTTAATCTTTGATGTCTTCTGTAACCCTTTGTTCATTCAGTAGCATATTGTTTATTCTCCATGTGATGTAGGATTTTTTCTTTCTTATTTTATTATTGATTTCCAATTTCATTCCATTATGATCAGATAAAATGCATGGTAATGTCTCTACTCGTTTTTATTTGCTAAGATTTGCCCTGTGACATAATATATGGTCTATTTTTGAGAAGGATCCGTGTGCTGCTGAGAAGAAAGTTTTGTTAAGTCTTGTTGGTGTATGGTTCCCTTGAGCAGTATGTAGTGTCCTTGTTTATCCATTTTGATTAACTTTGGCTTGAAGTCTATTTTATTTGATACAAGTATGGACACCCCTGCTTGCTTCCGAGGTCCATATGAGTGGTATGATTTTTCCCAACCTTTCACCTTCAGTCTGTGTATGTCTTTTCCTATCAGATGAGTCTCCTGTAGGCAGCATATTGTGGGATCTTTTTTTTTAATCCAGTCTACTAGTCTATGTCTTTTGATTGGTGCATTTAAGCCATTAACATTTAGGATTACTATTGAGAAATGGCTTGTACTTCCAGCCATATTAGGTTATTTATGTTACTTAACATGATTTGTTTTTCCTCTTTGATTAGTTTTTCCTTTACTGTACTACCTCCTGCTATTGGTTTTCATTGTTATTTTTCATTTCCTCTTCCTGTAATGTTTTGCCAAGGATGTTTTGAAGAGCTGGTTTTCTAGCTGCAAACTCTTTTAACTTTTGTTTATCGTGGAAGATTTTTATTTCATCTTCAATCCTGAAGCTTAATTTCGCTGGATACACGATTCTTCGTTGGAACCCATTTTCTTTCAGTGTTTGAAATATGTTGTTCCAGGATCTTCTAGCTTTCAGTCTGTTGAAAGATCAGCCGTTATCCTGATTGGTTTACCCCTAAATGTAATCTGCTTCCTCTCTCTTGTGGCTTTTAAAATTCTCTCCTTATTCTATATATTGGGCATCTTCATTATTATGTGTCTTGGTGTGGATCTCTTATGATTTTGTACATTTGGCGTCCTGTAGGCTTCTAGTATTTGGATTTTTTTCATTCTTTAAGTCTGGGAAGTTTTCTAGTATTATTTCATTGAACAGATTGCTCGTTCCTTTGGTTTGGACCTCTATACCCTCTTGTATCCCAATAACTTTTAAGTTTGGTCTCTTTATGTTATCCCATGTTTCTTGGATGTGCCGCTCATGATTTCTTAACATTCTCGCTGAGCTGTCTATGTTCTTTTCAAGTTGAAAAACTTTGTCTTTGTTGTCTGATGTTCTATCTTCTAAGTGTTCTACTCTGCTGGTAATACTCTCATTTGAGTTTTTAATTTGGTTTATTGTTTCTTGCATTTCCAGGATTTCTGGTTTTTGTTTTTTTTTTTTAATATCCTCTATCTCCCTGTAGAGTTGATCTTTTGCTTCTTGGATTTGTTTATGCAATTCATTGTCAAAGTGATCTTTCATTGTCTGATTTTGCTGTCTAATGTCTTCCTTGAGACTCCAGATCATCTGAAGCATGTATATCCTGAACTCTTTATTTGACATTTCATCAGCTGCAGATATTACCTCTTCTAATGTTGAATTGACCTGCATTGTTTGTGTTCCTTTCATTCCTTGTCTTTTCATACTGCTCATGTTTCATTCTAGCTTTGTGAAACTGTTGTGTTAATGGTTTTCCCTTTATATATTTATATTGTTCTTGTATAGCTCCAAAATCCCTCATTTGCGGAGAAAGACAATGTTAACAGTTCCCAATATCAACAGTACTGTGTGTTTTTTTTTTAATGTGTCTACTTTTAAAAATTGTTTTCTTCTTCTTAATTTTTGTGCTTGTTAATTAATCTTCTTTTAGAAACCAAATGGAAATTTGTTAATCTGTTTTAGAGTAGGATACTGTGTAAGATCATTAGGGCTGCGTTCTTTTTTTTTTAATATTTATTTTTTCTTGTAGTTGGACACAATACCTTTATTTTATTTATTTTTATGTGTTGCTGAGGATCGAACCCAGGGCCTCACATGTGCTATGTGAGTGCTCTACCGCTGAGGCACAACCCCAGCCCAAGGGCTGTGTTCTTAAGCAAAATTTGACAGGTTCTTAAAGAAGATCTGAGGGGGGTTCTTCTTTTTTAATATTCAGTTTCCTTTAATGACCTCCCATCTCCCTAAAGAGAAGGTGCAGGCAGTTAGACAATGGCAAGAGATATTCACTTGAGGCTCTTACCCTGATAAGGCTTTGCCCACATGCTGGAAGGCCCCTTCCCAGGAAAGGACTCTTGGACCAAAGTCTGGGTCTCTTGGCTGCCAGGATCCAGTTTCCGCCATGTATATGACTTGTAGTCCACCTGCCAATCTGGACTCAGCAGAAAGGCATGCTCCTAGCCTCAGAAGACCCAGACTCCAGAAATGGAGATGTTATTATTGGTTTCAAAGAGGATGACACTGGCCAAGGTGTTCTTTCTCAGCTTGTCCAATTGCTGAAACATTTCAGTGATAAATTTCAACTCATGATGGCCTGAGTGAGCTCTTTAGGAAAGTGGTACTCAGTATACCACAAGGACCAGCCATCCTTATCAAAGTGCTCCCAAAAATATGGCAGCGCCACAGAAAGCATGTCCTCCTTGGAGTATCTGCATTTAAGTTCATCCAACACAAAGGTACTCTTAGGCAGGTGAACAAAGGGGTCCTTGGCCTTGGGCTCAGCAGCTACTGCCTGGTCACAATAATCCATCTCCTCCTCTGGAGGTGGGGCAGCTGCCTTTTTCTCCTCTTTCCACTTGGCCTGGGGCTTCTGCTTCTCTTCCTGTGAAACCTCCTCTTTTGGGGCTGTCTCTCTGCAAACTTCTTAGAACTAAACTGAGCCATTTTCTCACACAGTTTCATCTTTCCCAAGATATCCTGGAACTGGGGCTGGTTAATGCAGGTGAGGAACCAGTGATTTGTACTGGGAAAAGCCTGATGGAAAGAAGTCTCCAAGACCTGTTTATAGAGTGACAGTGGGGTGCAGTCAACTGTGATATTAGTCAGTGTTACTTGTTCGCCCACCAGAAAAGTCCTTGTCTTCAAGTGAACATCCAGCAGCCGCAGAATTCACCATATCTCCTTCTTTGCATTCTCAGTGGCCTGTTTGTTGTGGTGTATGATGCTCAGGATAGGGAACACCCAGGTACTGGCTGGGGGCACTATGTCACTATCAGCAAAGCTCACCCACTGTACCGTCTGAGCTGCTGCTTCTGGAGTACTTTCCTACAGCTCCTCATTGCTCACATAGCAGGTGATGACATTGCTCTCAAACATACAGAATCCATCGTCATCCTCAAATGCTTAGAACCTTGCCAGTAGGAAATTTGAGGAGAAATTCAGGGGTCCAGTTGGTTTGGCCAAAGTGGAGAGCATGCAGACCTGAGTCCCACTGTAGTGAGTAGCGATGAGGGCCTTGGAGGCCCTCCAGTTTTGGGGATACGGATACAGGATCCCAAACACTACGGTGATTCCACAGAGAAAGGGCGGGTTCTCTCTTAAGTAAAGTCCAGAAGCATTTCTGTACCTTCGCTGAGACATCTATTTTGCTTGTTTAAAGGTCCCTGAATTATTTCCTGTACTTAAGATTGTTCTAGATGGTTGGGACTGCCAAACAGATAACCTTATAAGTCATGTGGTATGTAACAGTGATTTATAGATTAAACTATCCTTAAAAAATGTCAATTGTCAACAAATCCAACCTCTTCACTCTCTGAGGGATAAATGAAACTCAAAAAGTTCAAACAATTTGCCATACGTCACAAAGCTTGTTATCAGCAGAGCTAAGGTTAGTTAGAAGTCATTCAGACCAGTCAGGGTTTTTTTTAAAAAATATTTATTTATTTAAGTTTTAGGCGGACACAACATCTTTGTTTGTATGTGGTGCTGAGGATCGAACCCGGGCCGCACGCACGCCAGGCGAGCGCGCTACCACTTGAGCCACATCCCCAGCCCCCAGTCAGGGGTTTTTAACTGGGTACCCTCCCCTGAGAATACTGGTAATGTCTGAAGACACACACTAGGAGGGTGCCATTGGCACCTACTTGGCAGAGGCCAAGAATGCTGCTAAATGTCTTATAATGTAGAATAACAAAGAATTATCTGGTCCAAAACGTCAATAATGCTTTAGAACTACACTTTGTCAGATCTAAATAGTCAATTTTATTTATAATTCAACATTCTGAGAATAGAAGTGTTAAAGCAGGTTATTTCTCAGGCAAATATTCAGGCAAATTTAAGGATCTAGTTTAATTTATTCCCTGTGTAATGGAATATGATAAAAGAAGAAAACATACTTACCAGGAGCCAAAACCCAAGGGTCTCCTATCATAATCTGGCAGATCTGGAGCAATCTTACCAGCTTGTATGTTCAGGAATTTAAATATGTGGATTTTCCCTTTTATACATATCTAAATAAAATAAAATATAAGTGTGACAAAATTATTATTGAACACATTATTATTTTTGTTCTTTTTATAATCATAACCGGCTTTTTATGTAATGTAAATTGGGATTAGAAGGCATTTCTACCAAGTTTGTAGCACAATGTTAAAAAACTGATTATACTATTTGGTTCATTATTTGTTATTTTAGGTATTTTACTAGTAAATATAGGTTTCTGTCTTTTGGTTACCAGTAACTTTCAGTTACACACAGAAATAACTTATGATTATAAGCATTGTTAAAACACCAAGTAAATTTATCACACTAAGTTACATATAGTCAGGAATTTTAAGACTTCTCTCCAATAAATTATATTGACAACTTTTGATTTTAGGAATCCAAAAATTATGTACAATTGTGGTTTTGATCCTACTTTCTATAAGATTAAAATGACAAAATAGTAAAGTTATATATATATATTTTGTGACCTGTCCCAGAATTAAACAACTTCTTTAAGCTGATGAAATTCTTCTATACTTACAAGGTTTTTATACTACGTTTTTACAGATGCCATAAAGAGTACCTTAAGCTTGTGTAAAATCATCAATAAATTCCAGAGTTAAAAAAAAAATACTGTGAAAACTAGGGGTTGGCTAACATTTTTATAGATTGTAGGATAACTACGATCTATGTGAAAAGCTACTTTATAACTAAATAGTTTCATTTAAGTCCCTGAGAAAGAAATGAACAAACTAGTTAGATGGGGAACTTAAGAGTTTGGAAAATAGGAAGATGGAACAAAAACAATGGTCAAAAGAACACATTGATACATCTTTAATTTGGAAAGCTTTTTTTGTGTCTAACATTTATGTTCTCTATATCCAAGTTTTGCTAGGAGAAAACTGAGAGAGAAATTTCATATTTTATTAGAAAAAGAATTTTAGGGGGCTGGGGTTGTGGCTCAGTGGTAGAACACTGCCTAGAACACATGAAGCACTGGGTTTGATCCTTAGCACCAAATTAAAAAATAAATAATAAAATAAAGGTATTGTGTCCATCAACAACTAAAATATACATAAATATAAATGCATATAATTTTAGAAGAATTCCTCAACTTAAAAAATGCCAAACTGGGGAAAGGAAAACCATTTGTGAAAACATCACCTATCTTCCATTCCACTTATTCAAGGTTTCTAAAGAATATATATGTACATGCATTTATTTTAAGAAAATAACAGAAAGATAAATGCATATAAATTTAATTCTTTTGTCAAAACATGTATATAACATATTTCAACTAAGGTTTACCTGTGCAGGAGGTGACTGCAGTGGATTGTTATCTAGGGTGATCACTTGTAGGTGCCTAAGATTCCGATAACAAACAGGGATTGCTATAATTTTATTGCATGAGAAGTCTAACCGTATCAAAGGTAACTCTGCCAGCTCTGCAAAAAGGTAAAATGGAAATGAACAATTAATGATATTTTAAGTCTACATAATTTTTACAAGCACTTTTAATTAAATAACAATGGATTTAACATAGGTATTTACCTCCATTCTTGGTGACTAACTGATAAAGCAAAGTGATGTAAAATAAAATCTAGTTATCTATAGGTAGGAATACTAATAAAAATCAGGCAGTTTGACCTGATACAGAATTACAGAAATTCCCAGAAATTGGAGGCCCTGATACCAAAAAAAGGTGAGAAAAACAAAAGGAGTAGATGACAAGTCTTTATAAAAATGTAATCAGATGCCTAGGTCCCCAGTTCCAACTCACACAGTTGGAGCACTACTCTTCTCCAACCCTACAGAAGTCAGCCAGTTAATTCTCTAGTGAAATTGAATCAAAGCTCTGAACTCAGGGACCTCGGGTACAATGGGAAATCAGATGAGATGCCAATTGAAAATGGAGGAGTGAAAGACTATACAATCAATGGCAATTCCATAGCACATTCCACCCCACCCCACTCTCTCCCCAATTCTTGTAGGCCAGTAGATAGAAATACATACACTAATATACAAGAAATAGAACATCTTTCTCTAAAGAAGCTATACAGTGCATTATAAAAGGCCTTTAGACACTGTTAAGGCATTCTCCCTAATAAAAACACCCAGCTTGCTGTTTAATTACCCTTCTGCAGTTTATGCCTCATAGAATCAGCACTTTTAGTCGGCTGTGCATAGACAACATATGATCCACAGACATTTAGAGAAGCCAATGACACGTGAGAAAGAAATCAAAACCAACTAACCCACCAAAAAAAGGAACTTCGAAGAAACAAATAATTATAGAGGAAGCAGAAGAAAATTTTGAAAACTTAGAATTAATATCCTTAATTTCAGAGAGTGAGAATATTGAACCACTGAAACACAAAAGAGATTTTTTGGTGGGGAGAAAAATCATAACAACAAGATTTTTTAGAAATGAAAAATATGTCAGAAATTAAAAATTCAGAATAAATTTCTGAAAGCAAATATCCAAGAATAGGCCAGATACAGTGGCACACACCTATAATCTAAGCTACTCAGGAGGCTAAGGCAAGAGGATCAAGTTTGAGGCTAATTTGGGCAACTTAGCAAGACCCTGCCTCAAAATAAAAAATAAAAAAAGGGCTCGGGATGTAGCACAGTGAATAGAGCACCATTGTGTTCAATCCCTGTGTCCCTTGCCCCCAACATCCTCAAAATCTAGGAATGGTTGGAACTATTTTACAGGGTTACACAAAAGGACAAAAAAGGGAACAATGAAAAAGATAAGAAAAATCAAAGGCTCAATCAAAGAGGTCTAACATTCAATTCCAAAAAAATGAACAGACACCAAAAGAGAGAAAATTACCAAAAAGAGAAAGAAGCAAATTTTTCAAAATAAGGCCTAGAGTACCTCAAGTATCTAGCATGGTGAGTGAAAACAACTCATACTATGGCACAACATCAAAAAGTTCAGAGCAGCAGGGAAAAAAAAAGGAAAGACCTTAAAATCTTTCAGAGAGAAATATTTGGTCACAAAGGACTGGAATTAGAAGTATTTTCAAAAATCAATTTTTAACACTGGAGGCTAAAAAAAAAAAAAAAAAGGCTTAAAAGTCCTAAGAGCAAACAGCCTAGAATCTATAATCTAATAAATTATCAATCAAGGGGAGTAGGGAATAAAGACGGATGGGGTCTCAAAAAAAAAAAAAAAAATGTTATCCATGACACATTCCCCTTCTCACAAAACAACTAAAAGATGTCCTTCAGCAAAACAGAGGAAACTAAGAAAAGGAAGATCTGAAATCCAAAGAGTATTCAACCCAGAATAAAATAGGCAGGGGTAGCACCATTTAGAGAACCACCAGCTCAGAAGAAGAAGAGAGAAAAAGGTCTTAGTGGGGAAGATATACAGGAAAAAGAAGTGATAGAAAAATCTGATGCATTTGACAAAGAAGGCTGCTGGATAAAAAGGGTAGAATTAGCCATGGATACATTTTAAAAAATTAAACAAATTTTTTTAAAAATAATCATTATTAACCCTAGAAAACAAGAACAAAATATACAAGAAAGAAAATGAAGGCTGGGGACATAGCTCAGTTGGTAGAGTGCTTGTCTCACATGCACAAGGCCCTGGGTTAAATCCCTTGCACCACCAAAAAAAAAGAAAGAAAGAAGGAAAGGAAATGAAATCAGAGCGTATCACTTAAACTGGAAGGAATAATATTCATATATTATAGTAATATAAATACCGAATAAACATTTTTTTAAATATTTATTTTTTAGTTTTAGGTGGACACAATATCTTTGTTTTACATTTATGTAGTTCTGAGGATCGAACCCACTGCCTCATGCATGCTAAGTGAGCACTCTACCACTGAACCATAACCCCAGCCCCTGAATAAACACTTTTAATCAAAAGTGGTAACAAGATGATACTGGAAAGACAGAAGGAGGAAAATAAAGGTTATGATACGGTGATACTATAAGAAAATAAAAACCTGATTTATCATAACAGAAGTTGACATAGGTGTTAAAGTTGACAAACCAGCATTAGCTTAAGGTGTACTATTTAGAATATGTCAGCTAGTCAGGTGCAATGGTTCAATCTGTAATCCTAGCAGCTTGGGAGGCTGAGGCAGGAGAATCTCAAGTTCAAAGTCAGCCTCAGCAACATAGCAAGGCCCTAAGCAACTCAGCAAGACCCTTGTTTCTAAATAAAATGTTAAAAAAGGGGGGGGCTGGGGATGTGGCTCAGTGGTTAAATACCCTTGATTCAATCCCTGATTCCGCCCCCACCAAAAAAAAGTGAGCAAACAACAGTGGAAAAAGTCAAATAGGTTTAATGAAGGTAGATGCTCTGGCCATGGAAACTAGAGTGTGGGGAGTTTTAAGGAATTCCACTATTTAAGTTTTTAAATATCTTTTGAATGATGTAATAGTTTATTTAGTAAAAATTAAAATTAATTTAATTTTAAATCAAAACATCAAAATAGAAGATGTAATATGTTAATGACCAAACTGCAGTGTGAGATTACTAGTTAACACAAACTTCCATGCTAACTTGTGTACTGTTAGAATAAAGTGCCTGTTATCTCAGTTTAAATACATATGTTGATATTCAGTTTAACTCAGCTTAACTGTATATCCTATGACTCATAATTTTCTTGATAGTTTATAATCAAAATAAGTTAAGAGTTAAATTAGGTGATAAAATTATTACACTGTGATTGCCATCAGAAACCCCCAATTTTCATTTTCATCAAAAGCTCAATATTTTCATTAACTAATTTCATATTAATAAATCTTATTATACAAATAAGCTTTTAAAATCAACCTAAGTTGATTTTAGGTCCTAGTAGAGGGATAATCCTAGAGGGAATCTGGGGTTATTGGGTCATGTGTCATGATTTTGGTTCTGCTGAGGGTCTCAATGCATATTCTTGAGTTTGTAGCCAACACCAAGAAGAGAAGACCCTGAAGGTGAAAGGAATGAAGGTTACTGGACAAGTAGTGAGAGGAAAGATATGCAGGATGTTAGGTAATGTGGCAGTGACCAGTGAATAAAGGTGAACAGGAAAAGTCATTTTCTTATATGTTTACTTGGGATTCACATATGTCAAAAATGTTAGAACTAATTGTTATACTGGATCAAAATGGTATAAATGTTTTGATTCTATAGTAAGAGCAAAAACATAATTTGTTAACTCAATATTATTGTACATTCTGTCATGTTTTGTAAAAATCATTGTCATTAAAAATGCCTTCTGAAGATTTATCTTTTAAAAATACAATCTGAAATGATTATGAATGAATTTCTGGAATTTGTTTCAAATTAATCTACAGGATAAGGTGGGGAAAGTGGATAAGAGTATATGAAACAAGTGTTGCCAATAGCTGATGATAGCTGTAGCTGAGTGATGGATACACAGAAGTTCACTGTTCCCATTAATAAATGAAATTTTCCATATTAAATTAGAGAATATATATTTTGAATAAAATAATGGTTCTTCCTATTTTTACCTTCATTTATAGCTCCTTCCTTTTACAACTTTGTATTTGTGGAAGACTGATAAAATTACATTTAATTTATTTAATCATTTTTATCAGTCAAGATACGAGAGTTTATAGTCAGTCTAAGATAATCAGCCTTCTAGGACAGTCTCTTACCTCATTCATTATTTACTCAATACAGCACCTTCACATGGTTAATTAAGACTGAACTTTTCCATTGAAGGATAAAAATAAATTCAGTTCAAGGCCATTTGTAAGTCAGTGCTAAGTGCAAGAATGCTCTTCATGTTACTAGACTATCCCATTATCAAAACATGTTACATTCCTCCAACAGTCATGCTTACCAAAATTTCCAGAGACACTACCCTGAATTATTAATTATATTGATTGATAAGATACAAAAATAAAGTCATTTGTAAATAGTTACCTAAATTTTTCACTGAAGACTCTTTTAAAACTTCATAATAGAACAGATAACACTATTAAATAAACCACTGACTTTCAAAAATTCATCCTAACTCTTCATTTTTGTCTTGTGCCCATCATTCAGAGATCTCGTGTGTGTGTGTGTGTGTGTGTGTGTGTGTGTGTGTGTATGTGTGTGTGTGTGTGTTTTCCTGGGGACTGAATCCAGGGCCTTGTGCATGTGAGGCAAGCTCTCTACCAACTGAGCTATATCTCCAGCCCAACAAGATCTTAAAAATAAAAAGATGAATAATAAAACAATTGTTTCACAATTTCTTACCTTCAGGCAAACGTACTAAGTGATTTCTTCTCACATTAAGGTCTCTCAAGGCCTCTAGATTACCAATCTGGGAAGGTATAGTTTGAATTTCATTGCAGCTCACATCCTATTTCAAAAGGGAACAAAGTAATCATTGTTCTAATAGTAAACTATCTCTACAATGAGATTAGATAAAATAATACCTAGGGTTCTTCTCAGTTATAAAAAAAATTATGATTCTCTGTTAAAGAATAATTCCATAATTTGTGCTCACATTTAATTTAAAAAATTTGAGCCATAAATATTTCTCAAGAATATTGTTAATTAGATGACTTAAAATATGACTAGAAGGGCTAGGATATCAGATCAAATGAAAACACTGATGAAAAGGTAAATATAAAAAAAGTATAAAAATAACTATTTTATTATATATTATTCTAATAAATTAAAATAAAAAATTAAATGATAAAATTATTTGAAAGAAAAAACTCCATTTTCAAAACATCAGTTTCAACTGTTTGAAAATATAAAAATACACAGAAGATTTCAAATTATCAAATTGGATGTGGATAAAAAATGAAATACACGTAACTCAAAGGTTATGGAAAAACAAGCTGTTTTATTAGCATACGATCAACCCAATTCCAATATATATGTTAGGTAGGCCTCTTTTTATTTTTTTGTGATAATAAGGATTGAATCCAGGGATACTTTACCACTAACTTACATCCCAAGTCCTTTTTTTAAAAAAATTATTTTTTAGTTGTAGTTGGACACAATATCTTTATTTTGTTTATTTATTTTTATATGGTACTGAGGATTGAACCCAGGGCCTCACATGTGCTAGGCGAGAGCTCTATCGCTGGGCCACAATCCCAGCCACCAAATCTTTTTTATATATATATTTTTGTTTTGATACATCAGGGTCTAATCTCACTAAATTGCCAAGACTGGCCTCAAAATTACAGTCCTTCCCTCCTGAGTAGTGGGATTACAGGCATTCTGGTATTTTGGTAACAGTTTTATTACAATGGTTCTGAAAAGAAACTACCCATAGGTTCTAAGATTAATAAATTCAGAATTTCATAATTCTGAGATCAGCCAGAATAATTCGTTAACCCATATCATGCATTATAGCAAGAAACTATCTAGGTTGATATAAAGCTCCAAGCTGCACATTATCACTTAAAATTCTTCCAGTATATAAGGCAAAGAAAATAATACATTTACTGTTTAGAGAATCAGACTACTGCCGGGCTTGGTAGCTCACTATTGTAATCCCAGCAACTCAGAGGCTGAGACAAGAGGATCACAAGTTTGAGACCAGCCTCGCAACTTATAGCAAGGTCCTAAGCAAGACCCTGTATCAAAATAAAAAGGGCTGGGATATGGCTCAGAGGTAAAGCACCTCTGGATTCAATCCCTGGTTCAAAAAAAGAGAAAGAGAAAGAGAAAGGAAGGAAAAGATGGGAAGGACAGGAAGGAAAGAAAGGAAGGGAAGGGAGGAAGAAAGGAAAGAAAAAAAGAAAGAAAGAAAATCAGATTTACCCAAAACTTCATTAAGCTCAAACATTATTTGTTAATTTCCTAAAAATACTCTTAGAGAAAACAATGCAATTTTCACTTTTCCTATGAATTAATGACTAAAGTAGAATCCGAAGCTAGACTTTTAAATCTAATGCTATAGGCAACAAGTGTCAAGAAAACTGGTTCTGAGCCAAAAGTTTATAGCAATACATAATATATCCCTAAGGAGGGAATAAAATATATATGTGTATATGTAGAATATATATATTCCAAAAGACAGAAGTTTAATTCCATTTTTAAATGAAGGGGAAAAAAGAAAGAGGTAACATGGATGTTGCAGAAAGAACATCCATTGGGAGTCAGGGGCTTTAGGGTTACTAATTCTTAGGACTCAAAGTATCAAATAACCTTTTTTGTAGAAAACTAAAAGCAGCTTCTGAAACCTATCTATCTTTGGAGTATTTAGGATTGACTAAGTATAAAAGTTTAAAGATTTAAAAATAAGAATCTGAAGAAATGCCCAACATACATACATTTTGGACTTCATTTCTACGTTTAACTGGCTCTAAAATAGTAGTCTAAAATCCAGATGCTAGCTCTAATATGTCTGTGAATTTTTACATATAACTTCCTATATTCAAAATCCACCTGAAAAAGAATGATCTAATCTAATTAGATTTATGTTGCGTGAATTTTTTTTTTGTTTACAATAACCCTCTTTGTTAATAAACCAGCATGGAACAATACACCTAAATCCCAGTGAACATGTTTGTATTGAACCATTTCAGAAATATTAAACATGGGCTTTAGTGTTAAGTTAGGAATGGTTTCAAATTCTTCTTTTGTTATGTAACCTTGAACAAGTTACTAACCTGAGTGCTAGTTTCCTCAGCTATAAAATGAAGAAAATTGTAGTACCAGCTTATAGTATTATTGTGGTATAATTACCCCAAAATGAGAAAAGTCTTATTCTTTTTATTTATTTATTTATTTATTTTAGTTATAGGTAGACACAATGTCTTTATTTTACTTTATGTGATGCTGAGGATCGAATTCAGTGTGTCATGCATGCTAGGCGAGCACTCTACCACTGAGCCATAACTCCAGCCCAAGAAAAGTCTCATTCTTGTATTTGAACATAAATACACAAGAGATGCTTTCTTATAATTTACAAGGAGGGTAGGTAAAGTTCAAGTAAATGTCTTAGAAAATATGAGGCTACAACAAAGCCCAACATTATGTATAAATATAATGCATCCATAAAAATATGGAAAAAATATAGGGCAGTAAAATATACTGTAGAGTTTGAGATAGTATGTGTGTATGTGTGTGGGGGGGGGCTGACTTTTGAAGTGCCCACTCCCATAAAGGGGCTAACAGAAAATTAGAATATTGATGGTATTAATAAAATTTAATTTGAAAAACCAAATGCATTATTACCTTATATTTCAAAAAATTAATAACAAATCATTTAACACTGGTTAGAACATAATTCTAAAGACATTTTCCCATTGTGTGTGGGCCTATTTGACTTATACTTTCAGTTCTTTTTTAATTCAATGTCAAGAAGTTGAGTTACTACTCATTCAGCCAAGCTTCAATACCAAAGTGGAAAATAGCTGAAAATACATATTAATAGTAGATCTTTACCACGTATAAGAGTATAATATGACTACAAAGACACACTGGATGAGCAAAAAATGAAATATTAACTTACAAGTTCTGTCAAATGTCTGAGATGTCCAATTTCTTCTGGAAGTGATACCAATTTGTTATTACTAGCAATTAAAACTTTCAATGGTAAATTACACAAGTGTACTGGCAATGTTGACAGTTGGTTCCGACTAAATGGGTAAGTAGAAAAAGAGGAGTCAGAGCCTACCACTGTGGAAAAAAATTCCATCTTTCTTATTCTAGACTCAAATATAAGTCTTACAGGGAACAAATAGGATATTAGATTTCAGTTCTAGCTTTCATTTTGCAAGATGTCATCTTTGTAATTTTAGGCACAACACTGAACTTATAACTGTATCTTATGAAGAGTCCTCACAGATAATTAAAGATTTAATATTTTCCTAACTATCTTACAGGGCTCTTACACAATAAAACTCTTTTATAAAGAATGAATGCTATATGACCATGACATTATAATTTTATTAAAGTAATATTTACATAAGATCATCCTTTCTTTTTCCTCCTGAAGATACAGAAACAAAATTATTTGTATTCTACTTCACTCATCATTACAATATTATAACCAAATGTACAAAAATGATTCAAATATTGCTCTATGGAAAACAAGTGATAGACTATGATTTCATATGTTATACCAAATAAATTATAGGAAAGGAATCTTTATTTATACAAAAACAGAAAAATTGTATCTAAAAGTAAAATAACAAAACACATATGTAGATTTAACCTCTTAATCCTTAATATCAATTCCCTCTCCATTTTCAAGATGTAATTAATGTAGATCATGAGGCCATGAGGCTTAAAACTGTTTTTTTTTTACTGGGGATTGGACCCAGGGGTGCTTAACCATGAGCCACATCCTCAGCCCTTTTTTGTATTTTATTTAGAGACAGGGTCTCGCTGAGTTGGTTAGGGCCTCATTAAGTTGCTGAGGCTGGCTTTGAATTCATGATTCTCCTGCTTCAGGCTCCTGAACTGCTGGGATTACAGGCATGCACCACCATGCCCAGCACTAAAACTTTTTAATCCAATAATAATTCCACTCCTAGACACTTATCTTAAGGAAAGAGAAAAATAAAATTTACATCCAAACTTCTCTAGTAGTGTTACTTTTATTGTGGTAAAAAACTGGGAGAAACTAAATATCTGGGAGGAAAATGGATTTTTAAAAGTAGATAAACTATGCAACAAAATGATTATCTATAAAAATATTTTTAAAGGGTATTTTATGATAAGGGGAAAGAAAACACATTTTAAAAATTGACTAAATCCTGGAAAAACAGAAAGCGAAGATCAATTATAATTATATAACTTAAGATACAATATTTTGTTGAATTTCCTTTGTGCTTCTTTACATTTATATATTTTCAGTTGTTTTATATTGAATTTTTTTTTAAAAAAGTCATTGTAAGATGTGAAGAAATAGAGATGAGTTGAATAAATGCATTTACACATTCAAAAGTTAATACACAAAAGTTCATGGTCACAAGAACCAAGTGAAGGAATTTCAGATCTACTATTTTTGTTTGAGGAAGCTACTTTAAAAATGTAATTGGAGAACCACTGCTACAAGCCTGTTAGACTAATGGCTAGTAGGGTGTGTTAATGATTGTAAAGCCAAAGATAAGCAGAGACACTAGAAGAAACAGGATATACTGTTGATTTATCCTAAGAACATGTACAGAAACTGCCAATACAAACAGATACTGTAAATATCTGTAAACAGTTTAGTGAAAGAGATGAGAAAATTAGAAAGACCATATAAAACCAAGTTAAACAAACAAACAAAGAAACAATATGCTTACCTAATATTTAAGAATGTTAGGGCCTGCAGGTTTAGAATCGCCTCTGGGATATACCGAATACAATTTTGATATAAGTTGAGATTTTCAAGAGAAACAAAGTGACATGCTTCTATAGGAATTTCTGAGAGGCGGTTTCGTGACAGGTCTGAAAGAAAAGTTATTTTTTCAATAAATTTTTACTGAAATGTTAAACTAATATGCAGGCTTTGTAGTTATTTGAATTCTCCAGTGTTCCTATTGTGAAGACTGGTTCAACATAAAGTTAAAACAACAACTGACTCAGTAAACTGTTTAAATACACACCTTTGAATCTATTGCTGGGAAATGTTGATTTCTTTTTGAGTTTCCATATACACTAAAAAATAAAACTACTATTCATTGCAAATAAAGCAAATACTAAGGCATCTCCTATATATTAAAGATTATATCACTAAATTCCTAAGAGCCTAAGAAACAACTGGATCTCTAAAATTCACCTTCCCACAGCCAGGTTTTTAGAATAGCAAAACAAAACAAAACAAAAATACTACCCTTTTCTTTACCCCAAATTATCAGGGTTTGTCAAAAGGACTCAGTAATTTACGGCTCCCACTGCCCAAAGGTGAGACAATTTGAACTTTAATAAAAATAATTGCAATGGATTGAAATCCATCACAAATATCAAACTACACGAGCTTATAACAACACACCTCAAAAAAGATGACAGAACAGCAATCCATTATCCTGTACACTGATAAAGTAAGGAGAAAAACCAAACATTTATCCTGCATTCCCTACATGACTTTATCAGTGAGCCAAATAGATGAAGAGAAGTATTCAAGGTTTTCCCAAGGGTCAGAACCTGTGTCTAATCAAGCTTTTGGATCAGTGGCAAACTTAATAGGAAATGCAAAGAATAAAGGACTATGTTGCTATAGTCATTATCCATTCAGATTTAATTCAGTATACTGTGAGATTCATTTGCTTACTACAGTTTTTATCTTTCTGTAGGAAATCAGAAAAATAGTTTTCTCCCTGCCCCCTCCATTGCCCTTTTTTTTGTGGTGTTGGGGATAGAACTCAGGCCCCTGAACATGGCTAGGCAAGCAATCTACCATTAAGCCCAGCCAAGAGGAAATCTTAAGTCTCTGTTGGGAATCATTTGGGAAGATCCTTAAAAGAGAACATTCTCTAGATGGAAGACGTGGCTAATATATCCTCTGAATACCTGCACATATACAAATACCTTGTTTTAACCATAGCAAATAAATGATATTTTGGCTAGATAATGACAGTTCTTTTCTTAGTAATCTGTAGATGCTATTTAACTATTTTCTAGTTTCTAATGTCCTATGAAAAAGTTCAGTGCATACCTTATTACCTTTCTTTTGTAAGCATCTTGTTATGCCTGCCTACCACCTTCAACACTTAGTCTGAAATGCAGTGAACTCATTTAATCCTTCTTTCCAAACCAGATTTGTCTATTTTATCTTTAGTGGATGCGTCTCCTACAATGGCTCTTTCTACTTCTTTCTGTTTTTCTATTTTGATATATACACTTCTAATTACTCTTCTAGATTATGAATTTGAATTTAACAAAAATCATTCTCTCCACAAATTATAGAAAAGTTTTCCCTCATCCCTTCTTGTTTCAGTTCTTTTATGGTATAATTAGAAGCATGCCACTTTGTTTCTCAGGAGAATCTCAAGATAGTTTTGTTTTGCTTCTTAAACTTGTCACAAATCTCTTCCAGGCGTTCTACTTCACTGAAGTTAACTCATTCTGGATGTTTTCCTTGTTCACCCTTTCCTTGGCTATTCAAATACTTTTATGAGGATTATGTTCTTTGATAATTCATGGCTCTCCGCTTCTTCAAAGCTCAGGTCAAGCTGCAAGGGTACAATGAATGGCAGTTAACACCAAATTAATAGAAACAACTTCTAAAAGAATTGAAATCAAGCTTTCCATCTGGGACAGAGCTAATTCTGTGAACTCACAAGTTTAAGACAACTGTCTTTTTGTTTGTTTGTAGTTGTAGATGGACAGAATGCCTTTATTTTATTTATTTTTATGTGGTGCTAAGGATCGAGCCCAGTGCCTTGCATATGCTAAGCAAATGCTCTACCATTGAGCTACAGCCCCAGCCCTGTCTATAGGCTTTTTTTGCCTTGTTTTCTGAGACCAACATGTCCCAAGACTCACACATTCCCTAAGGACTATGCCTGCCTGCCTTATGATAGTAACAGAAGTTGGGAAAGAGATCATTATTTTGCCAAAATGCCTCATCATGCTATATTCACTTGGACAAAATTAAAGCCCAGGTAATAGTAACCTTTGAGTACTTCAGACTAAAAATTTCCCAAAAAATCACCATGAATAACTTCTTTAATATGAAGTACAATTTTTATCAATTCCTATTTAAATTATATTAGTATACTTTTAAAAGTAGAAGAAAGAAAGTATTAATGTCAATTACAAACTGCTCCTTAAATATTTAAGCTGAATCCAGGAAAGATAATTTCAGGCAACAAATTAAAATTAAGCAGAGGTTACCTTAGCTAAGCAGAGAAAGCTTAATATTTGTGTTATAAACCTAAATTATTTAAAAGTCCAGTTTTGTCTCCAAACTAATGAGGGGAAAAAAAAACAATAGCTAGACATATACTAAGTTTAAATGCATGTCAATAAACAACTATTCTTTCTTTTTTTAAGTGATTAGAGAATTTAAAACATAATATGTCTACTTTTTTTTGTGCCTGTGGTATTAGCAATGGAACTTAAGACCTCATGGATAGTAGGCAAGAGTTCTACCATTGAGCTATATCCTAAGTCCTTCTTATTCTGAGATAGGGTCTCACTAAATTGCTCAGGATGGTCTTAAACTTGCCACCCACCCAACTGTTAGCTGGGATCACAGTATGCCATTGTGCCTGACTAATTGGTCTACTTTTAAAATCATAATTTTTAAAGGTTCTCATGTTTTTGGCAAGTAGTTTCTTGTTTTAAATGAGTAATCTTTTTAAAAAAATATTTTTAATTGTAGATTGACACAATTTTTTATTTTATTCATTTATTTTTATGTGGTGCTGAGGATCAAATCCAGTGCCTCACACATACTAGGCAAGCACTTTACCACTGAGCCACAACCCCAACCCCTTAAATGAGTTATCTTTTAATATGCTATAAAATCATAAATGAACAGACAGAATTAATAACTTGGGTAGATGGATCATCTTATGGAAAATACTACAAAATAATACTGGTTTGTAAAGGATATGTATTATCATAGTCTCTCAGAGGGAATAATTTTATAGCCAAAGAAATGTGATTAAGGAGGAAAAACAAATTTCATCCTTTTCAGCTAAAAAAAAAAAAAAAATTGGATGTTTTATTCCTAAATCTCTTTTCCCACTTTGTATCGTGTATTGAATTATCATACTATACCTCATAAATATGTAAAATTATACCAATTAAAAAAAACTTTTCCAGTTATAAAAGCAATGCATTTTAACTTCATAAATATAAAAGACTGCATTGAAACATATATGCATTCAAAGAAGTGAAAAATATTCTATTCAATACCTAGAAGCCCCAGTGTAGCTGTTGCAGATGACCCCTTCCCCTCTCTCAAACATGTAACCAATTTACTAATTTTTGTGATAATTATTCTTTTTTAAAAAAAATACTTATTGTTTTTTAGTTGTAGATGGACATAATATCTTTATTTTATTTTTATGTGGTGCTGAGGTTTGAACCCAGGGCCTCACACGTGCTAGGCGAGCAATCTACCGTTGAGCCACAATCCCAGCCCCAGTGATAATTGTTTTCTTGATAGTTTTAGTTTTAACACTTTATAATCTGTAGGTTGGTCTTCTATATTAGTTTCCTATCACTGATGTGACAAACTACCACAAACTTGGCTGGGGCTGTAGCTCAGTGGTAGAGTGCTCTTCTAGCATGTGTGAGGCACTGGGTTCAATCCTTAAAACCACATGAAAAAGAAAACAAAGGCATTCTGTCCATCTACAACTACAAAAAAATTTTTTTTTAATTTAAAAACTAATAAAATTAAAAAAAAAAAACCTACAAACTTCTTACTTCACAATTCTAAACATCAGATGTTGGAAATGGGCTCCTTAGGTGAAAATCAAGGTGTCAGTAGTGTTAAATTTCTTTCTGGGGCCTCTAGAGCAAAATCCATTTCCTTCCCTTTCCAGCTTAGAAACTGCCCACATTGCTAGGCTCATAGCCCCATCCCTCCATCTTTATGGTAGTGCTGTTAAGCCAAATCCTTCCCATGCAGTTATCTCTTGGCTATTCCTTCTCTGCCTCCTTCTTCTACTTTAAAGCATCCTTGTGATATGGTCTGCCTCCCACATGTGCTCCTTCCTCCAATGGTAAGGATTTTCTTATTTTAAGGTCAGCTGATTAGCAACCTTAATTTCCCTTGCCATGTAATCTGATATATTCACAGGTTACAGGTATTCACAGGTTATAGTAGACATCTACATAATTCTGGATGGCACAATTCTGCCCTTCATACCTCTTAACTTTCTAAAAGCAAAAGAATACAACATGTGTATTCTTTTGTGGCTTTACTCAACATTTAGACCCTTTCATGTGGTTGTATATTGCAGTAGTTCCTTCATTTGTATTGTCTTCATAGTATTCTATTGTATGAATCTGCCTCAATTTACTTAAGTATTCTACCAATGATGAGCACTTTGATTATAATACATTGATGTAGAAATATACTTAGAAGTGAAAATATTGTGTAATAAGATACACAGGCGGAGGCAGGAGGATCTCAAGTTTGAGGCTTGCCTGGGGAACTTAGCAAGACCCTGTCTCAAAATTTAAAAAAAAAAAAAAAATTTTTTTTTAAAGGGCTGGAGTGTAGTTAGAGGAACTCCCCAGTACTCCTCCAAAAATTATATATGAATATATATGTGTGTCTATATATATTTTTTCAACATCACAAGAGAATGCCTGTTTTCCAAAGTGGTTGTATCAATTTAAAATCCATCAGCAGTGTACAAAGAGTTCTTGTGGCTGCACATTCTTGCCCATGCTTGTTAGTATATTTTAATTTTTGTACAGCAGCATCTCATTGTGATTTTAATTTTCATTTCTGATTATTAATTATATAGAACAGTTTTTCGAAT